CCTTACAATGTCAAAGGAACACCTAGAGATACATATGAATACCGCCAGGGCATTAACATTTGATCACAATAATCTTTTAAAACTGGATACAAAGACAGGAAAAAAAAAATAGTGGAGTCTTTAAAAAGACACAAAAAGTTACACAGGAAAAGTGACACTGAGGTGGAATCATCTTTTCAGACTATAATAGACAATACAGAGAGGGAATTCGGGGGTGCACAGGAGGATCTAGGGAGACCAAGTATCACTGATGACAGATTACCTCCGGCACACATAAAATCTTCCCACACTGTGAACTCAAAGATGGCATTCGGAAGACTAGGTTGGAGTTCTTGAGTGGACATGGCTTGTAAGAAGCTATCATAGGCATTAGACGAGTGATTCAAGTTCTTGATTAGGGGAAAAAGAGACGAGGAACAAGAGAGGATGAGGAGAGTAACTGGCAGGTGAATGGAAGAGTCTGGGGGTGAGGCAACAATGGCCTGAACCCAAGTGGTTGCTGTGGAAACAGAAGGGGAGAACAGATTCCAGATTTCCAGAAAAAGAAAGTATGAGTAAGTGAAATACTTAATGAAAGGGATGAGAAGTGGGGGGAAAGCCTAATTCCTCCAAGATGAAAATCCAGTATACCAAGAGAATTCACACATTGGAAATTGAAAGTAAGTTTGGGACAGGGTATGATTTTGATAGGAAATATAGAAATGATTTCTGGAAATATAAAATCTCTGATATAAAATCTCTAAAATATAAAATCTCAAATAGAGAGAATGAGAATCGAGACTGAAGATAGATGCCAGGGTTTTATGTACCAAGTGGGTTTGAAATTCTACAGGAGTCAAAACTTTGACAAAGTTAGCAACTAGAAGAGTAAAAATTTCAACTCCCAAGCAAAAGGAAGAACATATTCTATTTTATTTCATATATAATTTCTTGAAATATGACATATATACAAAAGATGGATTTAAGTACATATTTTCATGTGTTTTCTACAAACTGAAACACGCATGATGCACTGCAAGACTTCTGAAGCCTCACCACTGCTCTGAAACCTACAGGCCATCATCCTCCACACAGAGGTAAGGTGCTCTCACCTGCAGCACAGAAATTTACTTTGCCTTATGCTGAACTCTATAAATGGAGTCACAGTGTGCACTTCTGTGGGTCAGGCCTTGTGCATATTATGTGTCTGCAAGATTCACCCATGCGTGGCTTGGAGTAGTTTAAACCTTTCATTGTTATGCACAATCTTTCATGTGTGAACCTAAAATAATTTACCCATTTTATTGATGGATTTTTTTTTTTAGATGTTTGGTTAATAAAAAGAATGGTGCTGTGAACACTTTCATGTAAGTTTTGTGCACTTTGGCTAAGTGAGATTGTGGAGTCACAACTGATTTGAAAACTATGTCCACGCAAAAATCTGCAAGAAATACTTATAACATGAATACTTATAACTTATTCATTAGTGCCAAAATTGGACAGGGAAAGTCTGAGAAACAAGCACAATGAGGAGTCAAAGGAGATGTAACTAAATGAATTAGAACCTGGATAAGAACACTGGGTAAAAATTAAGGAAACTGAATAAATTATGTATTTCAATTAATAATAATAGATTGGTTCATGTATATAACCGATGTACCAAAATAGCATAATAAGTTACCAGTAGAGGAAGATGGGAGGGGTATATGAAAATTTGGTACCATCTTCTCAAAATGTAGGTAAGTTTAAAAACTAAAATCTGTTTTTTCTAATAGTCATCTTACTGAAAATGATGAAATGATGCTACTGGAGCTTTCTTTTTATAATCATGAGAATGGGAGAAAAAAATATGGGCGGTCACTATAAAATGCTAAATTTCAGCTATCTTGGAGAATACATTAATTTGTCCTATGAACTATCACTTCTAACAGTAATAGTTATTATTACTGTGGGCTGGGGCTCTCTGATACAGGTTCATGAAGAGAATTTAGAATGTCAGGGAATCTCAATGGAAAAACGTGTTCATCTCTTTTTCCCAACCGTAACTGACCTTTAGCATCTCTCTTCAATTATGAAAATAGTCAACAAACCCAGGTATCATCAGTAACATCTGTGACTAGCAGAAATCACAGCTATTTTTATAGACCCTTACAGTGTTGGGTAATTCTAAGTATTATTTACTCTCATCATTATTCATGAATTACAGAAGGCTCCCAGCTAAATCTTGATATTTATTGCCATGATTTAGAAGCAAATGTACTACATTATTATGATTTTGATTTATTATTGATACTATTTTGACAACTGTGTTACAACATAATTTCCTTGTAAATATATAAATGTTATTAACTAGACTGCACAGACTTTGCCAGGGTGCCAGTAGGATTCTTGGGACAAAAAAGGTAAAAAATCCACTAATTAAGCCTAAAATCTCAATCACACTCATTGTGTTTAAAACCTGAAATGGCTACAGCCCCGTATTTCATACCCTCCCCCTTCCCATATTTAATAACTTTGCTCTAGTTCACAAACTTGCATACACTAATGCGTTCATTTACAGTTTTATATGTTTCTATTACTTTCACATAAGAAAATCCCTGCCAATACTAAAAGACATAAATTTAATAACTATACAAGTGTCTGCTTACCGTAAGTAGCACTAAAACAAAACAATACTCAACAAAAAAAAAGAAAAGAAAAAGAAAAAAGCCTGAAAGAACAACAGAGAAAGTAATTCTCAGTGACAGTCTCATCTTTCATCTTAAGCCCTGCCGTCAACTCTACCTTGTTTAATTATTAAATCAGGAGCAGCACAGCAAGATCTGTCTACTTTTGATGATTCTTAAATTCAATCCTGCTGACAGACTGTCCGTTTTTCTCTATATTTACTGTTACCTAACGACAAGGTCTGAATGTTAATTTTTAAGTTCAACTTTCATTAAAAATAAAATGAAATATCTCTGATGGTACTTCTTGGCTCCAAAGTATCCCTTTACTTCACAGCTCAAATTTATAAAAATTTAAAATTCGACTGTGAAAGTTATCTCTCTTTTAATATACTTAAATAATAAAATATACCAGTGAACATGTTAGGGGATCACTGCTTGATAGATTTCAACTTCTAAGTTGCCTGTTTCTGTTGTTTGTCTATTCTGAAATTTATTTATTCTTTACCTTCATTTGTAGTACTGTTTTATTTATTACACAAATAAATGGTCAGGTCTCTTATCTTTTGGCAATAATTTTTTATTGTGCCTACATACACAACATAAAATTTACCATTCATCATGTTAAGTGGACAGTGCCGTGGCATTAAGCGCTTTCACATTATTGTACTTTCCCCGCCCACCATCCTTCCCTAGAACTTTCTACTCAAACTGAAACTCCATACATGTTATACCAGAAACTCCCCAACCCATCTGCGCCCTTTCCCGAGCAATCACCACTTCACTCTCTGTCTCTATCAACTTAACCTTTCCAGATACTTCAGGCAACTGGAATCACAGGATTCGTCTACTTGCCCGTGCTCACCAACTTCGTGTAATATCAAGTTGTAGCCTGTGGCTCTCTCCTTCCTGTCTAGGGCTGAATAACATTCCATGATATGGATAAGCCGCACTAATTATCCACTTATGATGGACACTTGTGTTGTTTTTACCTTTTGTCTGCTGTAAACAATGTGTCTATGAATACAGATGTTAAAATAACTGTGCCTTTCTGGCAAATGCCCAAACGTATACTTGCTGGATCATGTGATAATTAGTGTCCAATTTTTTGTGAGGAATCACCATCCCATTATCCTCCCTTTTATCTTCCCACCACAATGTCAAATGTTTTAATTTCTCTACATCCTCTTCAGCACTTATAATTCCCTTGCCGTACTTTATTTACTAACTTGGTATGGTGATTCTAAATGTGCTTGTAAAAGGAAAAGACTCAAAGTAAAGACTTCTGATGGACAGGGAAACAAACAAGGAAAATTAACATTTAAAAACTTTATAGGGCATTCAAGATGTGAAGGGGCTGACATCTGAATCCAAGCCCCTAAAGTCCAGGTTCGAAATCACTGTGACTCCTGCATCCCATTTCTTTCACCCTAAGACTTTAGAGCTGGTCTAAGTAGCTCCAACATATGCCTGGTAACTGAATCTTTTACCAGTTCCATAGCTTTAAATTCAAGGAGTCACTTGTACTAAGCCAGGTCTGCCTGGGCAGGCTGTGAATATAAATGAGGATAGGGTTCAAGTTTAAGATACAAGTCTCTTCCAGTCCATGAGGCCATGTCATAGATTAGGGCTAAGGCTGACAGGGTGCACACTTTTCTAGTACCTGAGGAACACTGGTCTATGTGCCCAGCAGCCTACCTGTTCCAGGCATATGAATTTTAGCAAGTCTGCTGACTTCTACAGGACGTTCATTCCCTCAGAATTTTCCTGTGCTTCCAAGAGTTCACTGAAGAGGCTCTTTTGGGATTCTCTATCTCTCCATCTCTCCATGGGAGAGTCACTGGCTTCTCTGCTACGAAGCCTGACTAGATGTCCTCCTCCTGCATCCTCTCAGGAAGGGAACTTTGAGGTGAACTCGTGACATCTTCGTCTGGTCTCGTTCTGAATCTCAGAGTCGTCACACTATTCCCACCCCCACATTTGATTTCCTTCACACTTGCAATAAATATTTTCAGAAAAACAACAAAGTGTTCAGCTTAAAAAAAATAAACAAAAAAAAATAAAGAAAGAAAGAAGGGAGAGTGGAGAAAGGGAGGGGGCAGGGAGGCAGGGATTATCTCTGGACTAAAATTGAATGAGTAACAAGAAATTTATAGAAGCTTTCCGAGTGAAGTCTCACAGCAAACTTAAAGGGACTGTCCATCACCTCATATAACCCCACTCAAAGTAGGAAGCTACGGAGTTTCCTTGAAAGTCTGTTATACATGTGAGCACAGCACAAGCCAGGGAACACAGCAACGTGGAGAGGAGGGGGCAGATTCCCAAAATGTCCAGAAACGGGGAAAAGAGACTTACAGTGGACTCTGTTTGTGCCATGTATTCGCCCTCCATTTTATTCAGACGGAGATTTGTGTCCTCCAGCAATTCTTGAATATTTTCAGTGTGCCGCTTTTGAAGATCAAACTTTTCCTTCTCCATTTCTGCTACAGCATTGTGGAGCTACACAGTGAAATCAAGAATTGACTCTTTCAGCACTATGGTATAGACTGTTTTCCAATTCAGAAAATTGTCTGTTTCTCTATTTATCTGACCTAAATGCCAAATGAGATAAAACCTACAAATAATCATGCGAAGTAAAGGTATCATATAGCAACCGTACTTTAAGAATCAATTTTTCTTCACTTTCCTGCATTGAAAATTTCAATGGACAAATAATTATTAAAGGGAACTGTCTACCTAAGGAAGAAAGAGGAAATCAATTAAACAAATAATATCATACAACACTAGGATAAGTCTGAAAAGCCAGAAATATTTAGAATAGTGCTGTTGATTATCAATACTATCTCAGTAAATCTTGTCAGCTTATTTGTAGGAAATTGTGTTGAAAAGTAGTTTTAAAATGCTTCCTCCCTCCCTCTAATCCCCAACAAGAATTTTTTTTTATCCACTCCATCACGGATACAAAAGTGGACACTTAGAAGGTATCCGTAAATCAAATGGAGGATGAGGACAGCTAAACATATACTGTATGTTCTAGTGCACACAGGGCTTGTTTTTTTTTTTAAGATTTATTTATTTATTCATATAGAACTGGGGTACCGGCCAGAGATGCAGAGGGTGAGAGGATTCACCAGAGACAGAGTGGGGAGCAGAACAGGCAGATCAATGAAGTACACTGCTGAGGGGAGCAGCGGGCGGGTCAGGAGAGGTCTGCCTAGCCATGTGGATCTCCTCCCGGGCAGGCGGGAACCGAACTCATGTGGAAGTGGCTTAAGCTTCTTAGTGCTATGCTTTAACCTGCTGCACCACCTGGGAGGGCCCGCACACAGGGTTTTTAATAGCAGAGTATGCAGGTGATGTTTAAGTGGATATTGGCATAGACACTTAGTGTCTATGTGACTGAAGTAAAGAAAGCCGGATTCGCCAGACAGCTTCCAAAGGGAGTTGAAAATCCATGGCCGCAAGCTTATGGGAATTCCTTTGCTCTCTTCATGGAAATGAAATTCTGCTTCTAATTCCTAACGTCTACCTCCAAGCCCAGGCTCACCTATGGGTGGGAGAACAGGAGCCCAAGATATTCTAAATAACACCTTTGACCTTCCACCCATGAGCAGGATAGAAAAACAACGATAGGATACATATAGGTAGACACTTTATTTAACTAGGAAGATCCTAGAGGAACAGGAGAAACGCTGACAGATGGTGGAAACCAGAGGCAGGATGCAGGCAAGAATTATGTTAATTATACTACGGGTCCCAAAGACTTTTCTTATAGCTTCTAACTGAACAGAAAAAAGTGATAATGGTTCAGTAATCAAAGGCCCTTGGGTTTCACAAATTGAACATACGCAGCTGTGCTCTTTGTAAGTGGATCCCTGAGATTATGTAGCTATATTTTGTGGGCACACACAGCTTTAACTGGTACTACAACTAGTATTCAAAAGCTTGTCTCTGACCTGGTATGTGAATGAAGTCACGCCCACTGCACCTAAGTTTCAGTGCTGCTTTGTAGCTGTGGACTGACATGGCCAGTAACTCTGAGAAAGGGACCTACAGAGGTCACTGTTAGCTATTTATAGACCATTTTTGCAGAAGGACCTATTTAGCTCTTTTGCCCATTTTTTGATTGGACTCTTTCTCTTGTTGAATTGTATGAATTCTTTATGCATTCTGGAGACTACAGTCTTGTCAGATATATGATGAGTAAATATTCCCTCCCACTCAGTAGGATATCTTTTTGTTTAATGATAGTTTCTTTTGTGGAACAGAAATTTTTGCACTTGATGTGGTTTCCCTTGCCATTTGCATCAAGTTACCAAACACATCACGAAGCCACGAACATCATAGGATGTTCAAGTTACCAAAGATATCCATGAACATTATAGGGTGTTTTTCCAAAATTTTTCTTCTATGGATTTTATTGTTTCAGGTCTTACATACAAGTCTTGAATCCTTTGTGGGATAGTATGATGTGAGACAGTGGTTGTCTCATTCCTCTGTTGGCTGTCTAGTTTTCTTAACACCATTGAACAGGCTTTCCTTCGTCCAATGAATACTCTTTGTTCCTTTGTTGAGATTAACTGTCCATATAAGTGTGGGAGGCTTTTAAAGGGTAAAGATTCCCTGAAGGATAAATTGTTTAGAGAAAATACTAAGTATGTTCTCAAGCATAAATTTTGCCAGGGTTTGCAAACCATAGGATGCCAACATGGCCATAAAAGTGAGTGGACCTATAATATAAAGGCGATTTTCAGTCAGAATTTGACAATGGGCACAAGGGTACAAAAAAGGTCTTCCCAGCATCCTGAATCTTGGTCATTAACTTGGATATTTGACCAACTGCTATTTCCCTAAGAATTTGTTTAAAATCTATTGGCAATGACAATTTTTTTCCAGAACATTCATTAATTCTAAGGACTAATTAAAAATAAATTTTCTTTATGAAAATTACTCTATGAACCATTAGACATCTCAAAGAAAATATACCAATACATGAATAATAAGTATTACTATGCAGTATCGAATTTTGTTACTTTTTTCATATATTTCTGTAAATTCTATAGATATCCATCATTTTTATAATTAAATACATTACTTTGGAGGATAAACTATTATACTTTCTATCACGACTCATTTCATTTACTTACCTTTTTTTCCCAGTCATTATTCAGAAATTCTGCGCTTTGTTCACATATCTTTTTCAGCTCTGCAATCTGGTTTTCTTTAGTATCTCTGATAATTTGACAGTCACGTATAAGGGCCTGAACTGTCAGAAAGGATGAAAACATAAGTTAAACCAATTCTAGCTACACATAAGAATCTGATAATAAGAAATACATAAAGTACCAGTTAACAGATAATTTCATTGTTCACCAAATCTTCTCAATTCTCACTTCTAAAATATCTCTTTTTACTTTTCTCTTTTTCACCATTTCTACCACTGCAGTCTTGGTAGATTCCATCATCACTCACTCCCCAGACAGGTTTAACAATGTGCTGGCTTGGCATCATCCCCCTGAGTCCCCACTGCTTTGAGGAGTCCTCCCTACAAATCCAGCACTGTCACTCCAGAGTAAAAAATGATTCTCCAGCCCCTCTCATAAAACATAGAGGCTAAAAACCTTCAATGCGGACAACAACTCCTCATAATCTGATTACTTCCCAGCCATAGCTTTTGCCAATTCCATATCCTTTAATATGTATCGTGCACACACCAGCTGCCTGCAGGTTCCTGAGACTAAGCTCTTTCACGTGCCACTGCCTACCGGAAAAGCCTTCCCTCTCCTGTTTCAAAACTCCTACTCATTCTTAGTCTCAATTCAGCATGGTGAGCTGTCTATGAACCACTTCTGAACCATTCACTGCCCCTCGTACAAGGGCAAAAACTCCTTTTTATGCTCAGGGAACCTCATTTACTCCATTAAATCACCTGTTGCATTATGTGTTCTAATATTTTACTGACCTACTTCTTGAACAGAAAACTTTTAATTTTTTTTAAGATTTATTTATTTATGCATACAGAATTGGGGTGCAAGCCAGAAGTTCAGGGGCAATGAGAGGCCTCACCAGAGACAGAGAGGAGTAGAACAGGCAAAGTCCACTGCTGAGGGGAGCAGCGGGCAGGTCAGGAGAGGTTTGCCGCGCCATGTGGGTCACCTCCAGGGCTGGGGATCCAATTGGCACTGAAGCAGCTGCAGCCAGCTTGCAGTGCTGCATCCTAACCCATTGTGCTACCAAGGAGGGCCCTATTTCAACTTTTATCTATAAAGCATAGGCAAGTGCTCAAAACCCAGTGCATTGAATAAATAAAGGTGCCATAATTTCATTATCATTGCCCCTAAATATGGTAAAGCCATTGCCAGGATTTATGTTAATAATAAGAAAGAGTTCTAAATTATCTAAAATAGTTTCCTTCTATGTCATTTAAAGTTCTTTTTTAAATGATTTAAATTGTCAATGCTTTAAGTAAAATTTAACGTATTCATGTCATCTGGATGGTAAAATAAATTGAGCTGTATCTTTGCTTGAAGGTAATATTGTCTTAGTTTACTGACAGGTTTTTATTTCAAAACAGCAATATTTCACAAATATTTTATAAAAATTCCCTCACTCTAAAATGTCAACTATGCAACAAATAAGGGGAGAGAAGAACCCAAGTGAACCGAGTACTAGCCTTTACCTTCTACATCACTTTTGTTCATAATTCCAAACTCAAACTAAAATCTATTTGCCATTCCAAAAGCCTTAGGAAATATTATTTTTAAGCCTGAGACATGTTTGAATTGCCTGATGTAAATCAGGATAAGAAATAAAAACCTAGGAATAACATAAAATATTTTTGTAATGACTGATATTTGGAGAAAGAACCTGAACAAATTTCTAATTACTTTCACCAACACTTGAGGCTAGAAGTAAGCCTTATCGCATCAGATTCATTCACTTACACAGTAACAGCCATACTAAATGTTCTAGAGCAATAGCATTCTCAGACACACGGGTTTGGTGTTTTAGGAGGGAGCCAGTAAATTCCATATGAAAACCCCTAAATGCAAACCTCTCCCTTTCCTTTTAGTCACTGCCTGTAACTTATCATTCACCAAGACTTCTTCAGTTCTATCCTCATTACTCCTAAGGCCATCATCCAGCATGCTGGGTCCTTAGCATCATAGAGAAGCATGGAGGCATAAGATCCTTGAGTTGGAAGGGAATCTACAGAATAAATTTGAAACTTCTAAATCTGAAATTCAAGGTCATGCCAAATTACCTATCTTAAAATTTTTCATGCTCTCTCTTAATATAGGGATGGGATATCTACTCAAGCGAAATGGTTTGACAGCATCCTTCCCGCCACTTACCAATGTCAGCATTCCTATTTCAGTACCTGCAACTCTTCTCTCCGAACCATCAAATTTTGCAAAAAGTTAAAATTCTCCTTTCCAAAAAATATTTTCAACACGTTCTCTAATGCCTACTTGTTGCATTTTAATGTTTTAACTGACAATTATAATTAGCTTGACTCTTGATTGCATGCTTTTTTTCCTTATAAATGGAAATTTAAATGGAGAATGCTTTTTAAATGTTCTGTCAACTACCATATTAGGCAATATGCTATAGGTATAAAGGATAATTAACAGGATGGTTTTTATTAGACCAAAAAGAGTAATTTCCCTAGACTTCCCTGTGAAAGTTAAGTTCTAATTCTGTGGCTGGCCTGTAGCAATTCAAGCCCAATAAGAAGGGTTAGTTGAGAAGAGGAAATAACAGTGAGAAATTCTTCCAGTTCTTTAATCTTACCAACCACTAATGCCAACATACACACACACACATACACACACACATCATCTGGAAGCTCACAAAACATATCCATTAATGATTTAATAGAAACACTCTCATCTCATATTCCAAGAGGCCACCAGAAATAAATTTTTACTTTGCACAGCCGCTAAAATAAAATGGAAATGTTACTGGGAGATTTATGTAACACCACATCACCTTTCTTTTCAAGTTTTCTAATAGTTTCCTCCATTTCATTTTGCTTCTTTTTATATAAAGTTTTCAATTCTTCTATTTCGTTATTCTTTCTTTCTAAAATCTGTAAGTGAATTTGAAATGTTTTAGTAAACATATTATTTTATACATAAAATACACTTTCATAAATAAACACACTGTACTTTGTAAGTCTATCTCAGCTAATCTCCACAAGTGGTTTCCAAAAGAGGATATAAAAACTGTTTTAGTAGATTAAGAAAATAGCAAATTTACTAAAATAAATGATTACTGAAAGAAATGTTATCTAGTTTCAATTTTCATTTTTTAAAATGTTATCTAGTTTGAATATCAATTTTAAGGTGGAATCAATGAATAATAATAAATTGGGTGAGTGTCTAAAATAAAACTGAGAGATTAAGCTGTAAGAGGACAGCAGACAAGTTGTCAGAAACCTGCCAGTAATAACATTATTTTCCTCCCCACTGTACTGGAAAAATCTATCTTCAGGTGGCCATATCCCTGAATCCTCCCAAGTATCTTACCATTTTCAGTCAATAATAAGAATCCCCGGGTATGTGGGAAGATGATATATCATGTACTTTGTAAATGAAGTTAAAAGATCCATTTCTTCTGGGAAATTAATTTATTAGTGAATTCCATTTACAGTACAGACTGTAAGTATAAATTACATTATATAATAATGTCATATATTATTATTATATGATATAATATATAACACATGTATTATACAGCATATGTGTAACATGTATTATATGTACAATGTATAACATGCATGACCTATAACATATAATGTATAATGTATGGAATGTAATGTATACCTAATATATAACATATATTATATATATTTATTATATAATTGATGATTATACATTTATACAATATATAATATGTATTATATAAATAATAGTATATACTACTTATATTGCTCACTTTTTGAGTCTCTAGTCAACATTTTTACTTCTTACATATTATATACATATATATGTGTATATATATACACATATATATATACACACATACATATGTGTATATAGGTATATATAAGTAATAAAAGTATATAAATAAGTAGCTGGAAGGATAGATGATCACAAGACCTAGAATATTTCAAATACTCAACATGAGCGACAGAACAAATGCTATGTAAGCCTACCTTCTGAATGTCAGCATCATGCTTCTGCTGCAGTTTAAGTTTCTCTTCATGATATTTTGCTTCCATCATTTTTGTTTTCATGTCCAGCTTCAAAAGAAAAATTTAAAGTTGTTATTACTTCACTTGTCCCTTTGGCAAAATAGACAAATCAAAATAAATAACTCCCAATAACAGAAAGAGTATCACTTTCACTTTTACCTGATAGTCACAGGAGTCACTGAATTACAGACACCAATATGTTGGCTACATTCTTTGATAACTTCCAAACTAATTAAAAGTCATTCATATAAATTTCACTTGGCAAAACTATCAAGGGAAAACTGATACTCTCAATAAAGATTGACCAATTATCCCGACCCCCCCAGAAAATGTAGTATTTTTTTCAAAAAATGTAACTTGAAGTGATATTTTGCTAAATGTACCCAACTGTTTAGACCTTATTACTTTTCAAGTAAGTCTCTAATCAACATTTTTACTTCTTTCATTTCTCACATCTGTATTCTCATTTTAAATCTGTTTACCTACATGCTTAATTACAACAATGCATCAAAGTCCATAAATATGGCCTATTACTAATGGACACACACTTCACTTAAAATTTCTACTTCTCTCTTCTGGATCACAGACCTTGACCCCCTCCTCTTTGCCCCTGTAAACTCCAGGGTATATTTGCTTCAAACAAAAATACTGTATTGCATAGCCATAGCAGTTATAAAAAAACTGGATGTATAATATTAACCAATAATGCTTTCTAGTGCAAAGTCCTATGGTGAAGTAGTATTGGTGAGCACAATGATGCCATTTATAACTAATTTTCCCCATCCAGAGTTCAATCCAGGATGGTGATTTGCCTTTAGCAGTCCTATCAACTTTATCTCTAATCTGAACAGCCTGTCTTTGTGTTTCTTGACCTTGACATTTTTAAAGAGTACAGCCAGTTACTGAATGTCCCTCAATTTGGATTTGTCTGATGTCTCCTCATGATTAGACATATTAAATTTAGGTAAAAATGACACTAAGTGACATTGTGTCCTTTTCCTCCCATGTTATTAGGAGGAGACTGATTTGTCACAGTATTGCCAATAGAAGGTTTGATAATTTGGTCGAGATAGTGAATGCTAAGCTAGTATCAGGGTTGTATAAAAAGTAAGGCTTTTCTATAGTAATTCTTTAAAAAAAAAAAAAAAGAGTATCTCGTCTCTGGAAATTATCAACTTGACACCACAGATCTCCATATTTCTGCCCTGTAGTCCAGTGCATGACTCATGATAAGTCATCAGGACTAGAATATACACAATCTTACTAGTACAGCATACAAAGATAAAACATGACACAAAGTACATATGTACATATAAACACAGTTATGTATGTGCATCTACATATATATATACACACTTATGTATGTAAAACACAGAAAACAGCTACAAAGAGCTAGAGGAAAATACACTCAAAATTAAAGAAAAATTTATTTGAAGGAGAGAGTAGAGAAGGAATCTCAGCAAAAAAATAGAAATTATAAAAAGGAAGCAAATGAAATTCTAGAATGGAAAACTATCATAACTGAAAGGGAAAAAAATCACCAGCTAAACTTAACAGCAGATTTGAGATGACAGAAAATCTGTAAATTTAATGATAAACCAATTGAGAATATCTGTATAGAAATAGCAACCAGCAGTACTCTCTGGTTTTAATACACCAGTATCAGCAACAACAGCAGTAGCAGTTGTAGTAAGAGCATCAGTAACAGTAGCAACAGCAGTTGTAGTAACAGCAGGAGTAACAGTAGCAGTAGTAGTTGCAGGAACAGTGGTAGTTGCTGTTAACAGCAGAACAGCAGCAGCAGCAGTGTGGAAGAACAATTACTTGGAGTAGAAGTAGTATCATCAGTAGCAGCAGAAGCAAGGAGTGGGGAAAATTTGCAGGAAAAAAACAACAAATATTTGATTGATTGCCTCTGCTATGTAAAGTACCGTTCCTGGCTATTTGCATGCTTCATATCAGTAATCCTCACCACAACCTTATGTAGATACCAGTCTTACCCCCATTTCACAGGTAGTAACACTAACACCAAAGAGGGACCTACTCAAAGTCCTACAAGGAGGTGTGTCTGAATTCATGCTCAGGTCTAAAGTCCAGAATCCTACTCAGAAGTTTGGTCCAAGTAACACACAAGAGTATATGCTACTGAGTAGCTTTTATATGACAGGTGTACGTTTTTTTCAAATAGCTCCCTACATGAAGCATAACAGAACTCAAGCAAGGAAAAGAAGGTGCACTCTCTGGTTTTAATAATCCATGTGGTCTGGGACAAAAAACCTGACACAGCCAGGAAGGTGATGGGACAAGCACATGACCCATAAATAACCACGTGCTCTAAAACGCTGTGTTTCACAGCCCAAATGCCCAAAAGTAGATGATTGGATAAAAAAGATGTGGTACATATATACAATGGAATATTACTCAGCAACCAAAAAAGAGAAACACATGTCTTTTGCAGCAACTTGGATGGAGCTAAAAATGATCATGCTTAGTGAGCTAAGCCAGAAAGAGAAAGAAAAATACCGGATGGTTTCACTCATAGCAGGAGTATAATGGACCAGGAGAGAAAATAACAAAAATAATGAACATACCAGAGACATTTTGCGGGGGTGGAGTGGGGAATGGGATCAAAAACGGGGGGGGTAGGGAGGGGAGTGCACGGGATTATGGTGATGGCACACGGGTGACTTGGTGATGGGAAACCCACGGGGATTACAATTGAGATGGAAAAAAAATGTACAAAATGATGTAAAAATAAACTTTTGTAAAATAATAATAATAATAAAATGTTGTGCTTCAATTTTTGCTCCCTAGGAACTCTCCTTTTTCAATCACAGATGCCTATCTTTTCTGACCCATTAGTACTCTACACACTGAAGCCACATTTTACCTCAGTGACATTTATTTAGTAGGCTTTTAAAAATCCCAATTAACTAATACTCTAGTTTCTCTTCAGCTCATATAAATTGTTCTCCTTTTACTAAAAATTCCAGTCACGAAGTACCTGGACATATTTTAGCAGTTAATTGAGGTTTCACAACAAAGTATTTTTTTTTCCTTCTTTCTAACTATGGAACATTTCGAGAAGTATTTACTATTTCCAGTTCATCATTTGGTGACATCATTTATTTGTCATCCATAGGCCCTTTCCATCACCACATCTAAAGACAGATTTCTTTTGTCCTTAGCAGTTTGCACTATGATCATCCTTTGCTCCTTCCTTTGAAGAGAAATGTTTCTCTGTCACCTCTGTGTGAGTCAACCTTTGCCAGGTCATCCAGATTTAGTTTCACAGTCCTCTTCATTATGGGCAAAGATTTGTCTCTGATGATCATCGGGACCTAGCTGATCCACCACACAGGTTAATTTCAATCTTCTAGTTCACAATCTCCATCAAATTTGGCATTCAGTAAAAATCCAATGACTCCACACAACTAAGTCCTTTACCTTTGACTTCTTCTTTCCTTATCCTCAACCTCCAAAAAGTCACCAAGTTCTCTCCCAAAAGACAGTATCTTCTTCCAAACATTCTGTAACCAACATGCTAGCAACCTCATTCACTCTCACCTCAACCATACAACAGCCTCGTCACTAGCAACACTTCGCCCCATCTTCTACCCTACTAATCCTGCTGAGCCCAATGACTATTGGTTTTCAGAAAATATAGCTGTGAAAACATCATTCTCCAGTCAAAACTTCAGGAGTTCCTTCCACCTTGGCTTCATAATAACAGCCACTTCTGACTACCACCCTCTCTTCCTTTTCTTTTCCCTAGCCTTCAGTTGAGTGATCTACGTAGTCCTGCTAAACATGGCCTCTGCTTTCTGATTCCCATGTCTTCTCTTCCCATGTTTCATGCACTACTCAATCCCTGACTAAAATGTCATTTCCTCCATGAAGTCCTCCTTAAGCTTCCCAGACAAAAGCAAACTTTTCGCTTGTTCAATATGCCTCATAGCACTTCGTCTTCAATTTTACCGTACTACTGGTTGCATGATGTGTGTGTGTGTGTGTGTGCACTATATATTCTTTCCTGGAATTGGAGTATAAGTTTTAAAGGCCCTTTTTATGAGGTTTGCTGTACAATATAATTTAATTCTACTCTCATTTATATTCTCTTTGTACTATATATTATACATATGTGCCTATTAAAGTTAAGTTTCAAAATGTAAACAAGCAAATAACTGAGCCAAAATTATAGAACCGCCAATGTTAGGCTAAGGCAGAGCGAGCCCTCCCCACACAACAAAAGAAGACAACAGAAAGCATGCACAAGCCCTCTTAGCACAGAAGAGGGTACTTCCTTGTTTCGTTTCTTAAACCAGTCATGGTTCAACTTGTTCTGATCAACCCTCTAATGTTAATAGCCCTCCAGCCCCTTAACGCATCAGAAATGCTTTATTACTGGAATCAGCCAAGTTAAATGGAAAGAGGGGTCCCTTGCCTTATTTGACCATGTTTCTAGGCAAAATGACCAGAGATTCACTCAAACAACTCAATTATTTGAAACAGCCAGGGCTTAAACACCTACTTTTAGAAAAAGAAGAGACAATCATCAGGAGATTGAGACAACTGCACAGGAATAAGAGGAGTTACGACAACTCATTCTATGTTGAGCAAAAACCCTAAAATTGGAATTGCTCTTATTTTCTGGGGGGCATTCCCACAAGCTATTTTTAGATGGATTTCTGAAATTTCTATTTAGAAAGGACTTGAGAATTTTATTTACAAAGTCCACGGGGTGCCATTTTCTCTGAAGTATTTACTTCAAAGAACAGCTCTGAGGTTAGACATTCCTCCCAAATGAATAAAGCTGGTGAATGTACTCACTTACTTGGTATAAATGTATTCCTTTGGGTCTAAAAATATCCTATTTACAGCTTAATTAGTTAACTTTTAAAACCATTACCAATGTCATCTTACATCACAAACTTTTTAAAGGAACACTCATCCATCAATTCATTTGGATATTCAGCATTCACATTTTCATTCAAAATGCTATTTTTACTATTAACAGTTTTACACATGCAAATTGTATTTCACACTTA